GGCAGAGAAGGAAGGAATCCAAGAGAAATTTCTGAAGAACAAAGAGATCTGGCAACATACTGGCAAGAGAAAAGTGGGGAAGGAGAGAATGGGGGAATCTGCCAAGATCTTTGGCTTCGAGGGCCTGGAAGGTTGTTGGTGTATCTCAGAGATGGAGCTCTGGGAAGGGCCACGTGAGGGAGGGGCAGGCAATGATGCACCAGTAATGGGCATATGTCTCTGGAGATGTAAAACATTCCACTGACAGTTGAAAATAAAGGACTAGAGATACACATCTGGACATCATCCGTGTCAGAGTGAGAAATGCAGCCAAGAGAACAAATGAGCTCAGGAGGAACGGGTGGGAATGGAGGGATGAGGGAAGCTGAGGAGAGGAAGGGACAGGATGTGCGCAGAGAGGAGCAAGGAGAGCAGACTGCCACCAGCCCTCTTGGGGTCTCCTCGGGGCAGATGCAACACCTGGCCAGGTTACAGGGCTTGGCAAGCAGCGTCAGGTTGGAATTCAGCCTCCCTCACCTTCTCATGTAGTGAACAGCCTGCACAACTGTATGAGGGCTCTGACGGTGAAGCAGCCAAGAAAGCAGAGTAGGCACATTCAGAAAACTGGGAGCAAAACCAGGAAATCTAGAGGCGCCAAGAAATGCATGATGAATGCCATTATATGAGAAATGATTTGGCAAACGGGATGAGACCCTTCCTCTTCCCCGCAAAAAGCCTTTAAACTTCTGCTAAAACCTGAACCAGTAACCCAGAGGACAGACCAGACAGAGACAGTGAGGTTCCATATAAAGAGAACTGGTGCAGAAACCTAGAGACAGGCCCTGACATATAACTAACTGCCTGTAACACACTGTGTGGCTTAGGGCAAGATGCTTGACCTCCCTGGTCCTCGGTTTTCCCATCTATAAAAAAGGGGGGGGGTTGTAGATGATGTCAAAGTCCCTTAAACTGTTAGGATTCTCTTAACTAGAAAGCACAGGAATTTACCATTTCAGATGTTCTTGAAAATCAAACTTTATTCTCCCAGGGAAGCTAACCCAAATGCCCAAACTAAAGAGACTGTTTACATATAGAGCCTCGTGAGGGTATTTCAGGGGTTTTGCTGAGTTTGGGCTGAGGAATTAAAATTGGCTTTCATAGTCAAAGAATTTTCATAAGAAATGCCTTTTCATTCCCTCCTGGATCGTGGCAGAGGAAATCAGGGAGCAGTAATGGGACCCCAATTGAGTGGCCTTATTTCACTAACCAGTTAACTGCTTGGAACCCTCTACTCCCCTGGAATGCCATTAATAACCTTTTTATTCTATTTGTGTTTGCCTTGCAAGAAAAAAGGAAAGAGAAGAAGGGAGAGAATGGTTAAAGGAAATTCACATGAGATTCACAGTTCTTCATTCCTGCCAAGAACCTGTCACTGAAGTATGTCTGGGACTGCCAGGGCTCACATTTACTCAGCATTCAGGATCTAATTATTTCCACATGTAGTTCAAGGAGAATGGTTGATTAAAAGTAAAAAAAAAAAAGAGAGAAAACCCCACACCTAAATCCCAATACCCTCAACTAAAGGAGGGAGACAGCTCTGGGGCAGCTGTGGGAGAGGGTCCCCTGCAGTGCCTGCCACATCTGGACCAACATTCCTGCAAGCCAACCTTCCATTTCCCCCAGCTTCCCAAGCCCGGAAACAGATAGGATTCACATTCATGGGCTTCTGGATAGAATGTAATATTTACTCCCCTGCTTCGGTGGGAAGCAGGTGAGATACGGATATAGCCTAAGAGCTACGAGTTCTCTCCACCCTTTTGTCCCAGGGGTCAACTGAATTTAGGTAGCCCCTAGGTAGCTCCTGACACACACACCTACTAGGGAACAAATCCACTGATTCATTAACATGGAGTACCTTGAGTACCTTCTCTAATCGGGGAATAGCCCCCCCACCTCCATGGCTCCTTTCCATTATCCCAATTTGTGCATGGCTCCCCTTAAAACTGAAGGCTATCGTTTCTCCAAGGTGATTCACATGAGCTGGCACTGATTCAAATGCCTGACACCGTCGCCTATTGGCATCTTATTGGCCACATTTAACAAGGCCTTTGGCATGAAGCTCAGAGTCTTCTCTCCCCCTGGGTAACTTCATTGTTAACATGGCCTTGAGATCCTTGGCCTCTTCACCTCCAGTAACTCTCTGGCTACATGGGAGAGTCAGCTGTGCATATGGGTAGAGCAGGTAGCCACAGCATATTGAAGTCACAAGCAGACTAAAATAAAAGATATAGGACTTCTGAGGTTCTACCTTTTGAAATGGGAACTCATTACCCTTTGAAAATGTCAGCACCGTTAGGTATTGTTAGATGCTCCCTTAACCTTCAGATGGGAGGAGAATGTCCTACGAGACCAGCTAAAAAGATGTCACCACCTGGAAAGTCTGATTTTTTGTCTGGATTGCACAAATTCTTCCTGTCCTTCACGGCTTAGCTCAAGTTACACCACTCCATCCTCTGTGACCTTTCCGTTTGATTGATATGAATTCCTTCTTCCTTCCATGAATTCTCATTCCACTTTGTCTGAACTCATTTTAATCACTTTTTAAAAATTTTAATTGATTGTACAGATTTTATCTTCCCAGCTGAACTCTAAGTTCCTAGAGGACAGGATTATATTTTAGAGTTCTTTCATAGGTCCCAGCATAGCACCCTGTGCCATCCATCAACCTTTGCTGAAAGCATGAAAGGGACTGCCCTGAGGACTTGAAGCAGGGGCTGAAAGACAGATCCTGTGCCAACTCCTCTTCTGGAGCTGCCCCCTTCCAGGACCAGTCTTTGGGGGAAATACCCTACAGGCCCCACCCTTCTCCACCAGGCTATAAATATTCAGCCTGAAAATTCACTAATTAGCGATTGTTTTAGACCTATAGAAAGGCAGAAAGACATGTGTGTGTGTGTGCGCGCGCGCACATGTTGGTAAAGTGGACAGGAGAGCAGTGAGGGTACTGAAATGGCTTCCAGTCATCTCTTTTGTCCATCAGCAATGTAACACCTAGCTGACAGGCTGTGGGAATGAGAAATTGGTGGAGAGAAAGAGGGTAGAAGATGAGGTAATGTGGGAATGTGAAAATTGGGTGAGACGCTGGAGTGTAGGGGGTGGCCTAGACAGGGAGAAGTGGAAATAAAGAGAACCAAGTGAGAAGAGGCCAAGAGAAATCATGAAATGGGCTTGTTATCCAAGGCAGCTGCTTTGTGTTAACTCTTCCCAGGAACCCCACCCCTACATTGTCCTATGAGGTAGAAGGGAGGCCAGTTGGTCAGTCTCCCTAGACCAGAAAAACAAGCTTCTTCCCTTGTCCTATCCCTCCCCACCCCTAGAATGTCCCAGGGTCTCCAACCACTCCCCTCTGGCTCATCCTTGCAGTGGGCTGCCAGGGACGGGTGAGGTTTTAGTTGTGCCCAAGTGGTTTATTTCTTCTGGGGCTGGACACCTTAAAAGGAACTGTGATGTCCCACCAAGAGCTAAGACAATTTGACAGATGAAGGGGTCAAGGTGGTTGGGTGGGGCTAGCAGGGAGGTCAGGGAGATTGGAACACAATGGAGCAGAGAGACCCAGAGACCCAGCACAGCCAAGCAGCGTGAGTCTCCACTCTAAAAACAGGAACAAAGCCCTGAGAACCTTTGGGGACAGTGTGGCTGCAAAGCAGCCATCAAGTTTCTAGCAACTTGGCAATTATTTCCTGGCCTGAGGAATGCAGAAGGGGTTAAAACCCAGCAAGAACTCCAGGCTAAATGAAGTCTCCATATGTGTGTCTCAGTATGGTTCTAGGAGAAGCAGACAGATGCAATTAGAAGTTCTCAGACACTGTGTTGCCATGGCAACTGCTGGCCAGGAGAAAAGTGGGGAAAACCAGGAGTCCGAGGAATACAGTTTTCCAAAGAAATGCCAGAGGCAGGTGGTGTTCATCACCCTCAGGCTCCACAGGGAGGGCTTGTGCCTCCAGTGACTCTTAAGGACCCTCTCAATTCCCCTGCATCCCCCTCTCCCTCTGTCCCCCCCCCCCATACACATCCAGGACAATTCCAAATGCAAATG